TATCTGTGGGCGTTCTCCACAGCAGCCACTGGCAACGTGGAGTGAACGGCTCAAGAGATGGTCGTCGGGAAACCGGACAACAAAGGTACTCAGCATTTCTTGTGGTTTAGAAAGCTTCAATTAGTGAGTATGCTTGTCTGTTTCTGCCAGAAACAAACGGGAGACACAGCTACCGAGTCAGAGACCAGTTCTTCCTCTGGTGGTGAAGCTCAGGAGGTGAAGTCTGAGGTGTCACAATCCACCACAAAACAGGAGACGGCTGAAGATGACATTGAGGTCTTGTTACAAGAGAAAGATGAGAAGATAAAGCAGCTTCAAGTGAGAAGTCTTTCACACTTTATGTCCGCTCTCGGTATAATTATGCAGCCCTTCGCATTATTAACCCTCGGTGCGCATGCGCAGCGAGGATTACAGTAGTTGGGTCAGTGTGTGTCTTTCTGTCTGTCTGTTACTCTCAATCTCACTTCTCGATGTTTGTTCGTCTCACAAACGACATGACCTACCCAACGGGCAATGAAGGTCTGAAATTTTGTGCGGTTTTCTCTGAAAATGCTCCGTTGCAAAGCTAGAACGTGAAAATGGCAATATGCAAATACACAACGGATGGGATGGCTTACCGCGGTGTGATCGATCCGTGTGCTCTGCGTATATACCTCGGAGGCACAGAAGATGCAACGCAGGGCGTGTATCGCCTCTCGCATGCTATCTAGTAGTGTAATTAGCCCGCGTCAGACCACGAGTAACAGCTAAAACTAAACCCAGCCCATCGATTAGTGATACCGCGCATGCGTTTACTGACGCGTGCGCATCACAATGTGCCGAGGCTTCAGTGCTTTTCATTATGATAATGATCCAACACTGCTGTTGGATATGTTTAATACCACACAGGACTTTTGTTGTCCATAATTTAGCAAATATTCTGGGAAAAACCTCGCAAATTCTTGTTGTGCTGCAAAAGTTGTGGTGTACAGTCCACTAGTCTAGCCTTCTTACTCACCAACCCACTCATCCAACTTTCACTCACTCACTCACATGTTGTCTCGTTTGCCAATTTACTTCACAGTAAAATTTCAAAACGCATGGAAGAACTTCTATAGCGCATGCATTCGCATGGATTATTGCCAATTGTGGAATTGCTGGGCATGTGGCATTCCGATGATTCCACAATTGGCTATAATGCATGCGCTCTAGAAGTTCTTCCATGCGTTCTGATATCTTACCAGGAAGTAAATTGACAAACGAGACAACATGTGAGTGAGTGAGTGAGTGAGAAAGTTGGTAGACTAGTTCGTTTGTTTTGTATAAACGTCAATTTTGTATACAAGCTACAGTACACACCAAAAAAAGTTCCCACTACGCCTCTACGGTGCTTTTATGGCGAATCTACGGTCGACCATAGAGCACCGTAGCTGCAGTACGCTAGTAAAGTAAACGGTGGCAGCTAAAGGCCTAGCAAGCAACGAGCGTTGTTTCTAAAGCTAAGCGTAAGCTAATAACACTAGCGTTGTAGCGCAGTCGTGTCTAGCATTGCTACTGCTGCTTGCTATCGCTTCTCGCTCTCCTTTGCGCCCGCTGAGCGCGCTGACGCGACATGCGCGCGTGCGAACGCGCCCACTGTATCGACATGGCAAGAGCAGCTCATCGATCGCCTCGCCGTCAGCACTGTCGCTCTATGAACGCCGTGTGGATATCCTTTACTACAGTACAACGCCAAAAATATTTCCCACTACCGTACCGTAGTACGGTCACACTGTAGTACAACTACGGTCTTGCTACGCTGTAGCAACGCCGTACTACGGTGGAAGCCGTAGACCTGCTACGGCACAGTACGCCGTAGTTTACAGTCCTCTATCAAGCAGCGTTGCCCCATGCAGCTTTAGCTAGCTGTACGGCCAGGATATCCACACGGCGTTCACAGAGCGACAGTGCTGACGGCGAGGCGATCGATGAGCTGCTCTTGCCATGTCGATACAGTGGGCGCGTTCGCACGCGCGCATGTCGCGTCAGCGCGCTCAGCGGGCGCAAAGGAGAGCGAGAAGCGATAGCAAGCAGCAGTAGCAATGCTTATAACAAACTTAGTGCTTATAACAAACTGACATTCACCATCTTGTTGTTCTAATGTTTCTTCAAAATCACGCAGTGTATTTCACATGGCAAATTTACATCTCTGCAGGACAAGTACTTGCGTGCCCTGGCAAGATGGAGAACGTTCGGCAGCGCTCCAGGAAGCAGGTGGAAGATGCCAAGCTGTACGGGATTCAGGGGTTTTCCAAAGACATTCTCGAGGTTGCAGATGTTCTACAGAAGGCCACCCTCAGTGTCCCTGAGAGTGCACTCAAAGGGACGGACAATCCCCACCTTGTGTCCCTCTATGACGGAGTCAAGCTGACTGAGGCTGAACTACAGAAAGTCCTCAAGAAAAACGGAGTTGCCCACATCAATCCTCTGGGGCAGATGTTTGACCCAGTGTACCACGAGGCCATGTTTGAAGTGGAGGGAGACAAGCCTGGGACTGTGGCTCATGTGACAATGCTAGGGTATACCCTGCACGGACGAACAATACGACCTGCCAGAGTAGGCGTCGTCAAACAGACAGATTCCTAGCTCGCGCTGTGGTGTTCAATCATTCCACTTGGAATTGCATTGTTGTCTTTTCAAATTGTTGAACGGAGAATTTCAGAACCCTGATAGAGGTGTTAGTACAAATTCACAGTTATACAGTCAGTGCATATAGCACCCTGCACTCCTTCTATCTCCTGTAAAGATGTAGTCAGAGAAGGTTCGGTACAGTCGAAACCACCCCGAACTGGTGTGAAAGAGTCAGAGAAGGTTCGGTCCAGTCGAACTACCCCGAACTCATGTAAAAGAACTCTATATACCTTGCTATCTCTGTGAGGATGTAGTTCGAGAAGGTTCGAAGAGGTTCGGTGTGCTTGAACCACCCCGAACCAGTGCATAAGCAACCTGCACACCTTGTTTCCCCTACAACGATGTAGGTTCGGTACAGTCGAACCACCCCGAACTCGTGACAAAACTTTACACACCCTGTAATGTTGTAGTTAGAGAAAGTTCGGTACAGGTTCGAGGAGGTTCGATGTGCTTGAACCACCTTAACCCGTTGGGCGTAATTTACATATATATATATATTCACAGAGCCTCCATAAGTGCATAATACTAGGCGCTAATATGTTATACATCAATTTCTGCTTATTTAAGGATACACCTATGACGTCCAAAGGGTTAAACTAGTGGCTAGTGGAGGTTTGGTACAGTCGAACCGAACCACCCCGAACTCGTGTGAAAGAAGTCTATATACCTTGCTATCTCTGTGAGGATGTAGTTACAGAAGGTTCGATGAGGTTCGATGTGCTTGAACCTCCCCGAACCGGTGCATATTGCACCCTGAACACCTTTTATCCCCTGAAGAGATGTAGTTGGAGACGGTTCGGTACAGTCAAACCACCCCGAACTCGTGTGAAAGAAGTCTATATACCTTGCTATCTCTGTGAGGATGTAGTTCGAGAAGGTTCGATGAGGTTCGATGTGCTTGAACCTCATCGAACTAGTGCATATAGCACCCTGCACTCCTTCTATCTCCTGTAAAGATGTAGTCAGAGAAGGTACGGTACAGTCGAACCACCCCGAACTCGTGTGAAAGAGTCAGAGAAGGTTCGGTCCAGTCGAACCACCCCGAACTCATATAAAAGAACTCTATATACCTTGCTATCTCTGTGAGGATGTAGTTCGAGAAGGTTCGAGGAGGTTCGGTGTGCTTGAACCACCCCGAACTAGTGCATAAGCACCCTGCACACATTGTTTCCCCTGTAACGATGTAGTTAGAGAAAGTTCGGTACAGGTGCGAGGAGGTTCGATGTGCTTGAACCCTTAAATTAGTGGCTAGTAGAGGTTCAGTGTGCTTGAACCACCCCGAAATAGTGCATAAGCACCCTGTACACCTTGTTTCCCCTGTAACGATGTAGATAGAGTAGAGAAGATGTAGTCAGAGAAGGTTCGGTCCAGTCGAACCACCCCGAAACTCGTGTAAAAAGAACTCTATATACCTTGTAATGTTATCTCGTTCGAGAAGGTTCAATGAGGTTCGATGTGCTTGAACCTCCTCGAACCGGTGCAAATTACACCCTGCACACCTTGTATCCCCTGTAGTTGGAGAAGGTTCGGTACACTCGAACCACCCCGAACTCGTGTGAAAGAAGTCTATATACCTTGCTATTTCTGTGAGGATGTAGTTCGAGAATGTTCGATGAGGTTCGATGTGCTTCAACCTCATCGCATATAGCACCCTGCACTCCTTCTATCCCCTGTAAAGATGTAGTCAGAGAAGGTTCGGTCCAGTGGAACCACCCCGAACTCATAAAAGAACTCTATTGCTATCTCTGTGAGGATGTAGTTAGAAAAGGTTCGAAGAGGTTCAATGTGCTTGAACCTCCACGAAACGGTGCATATTGCACCCTGCACACCTTGTATCCCCTGAAGAGATGTAGTTGGAGAAGGTTCTGTACAGTCGAACCACCACGAACTCGTGTGAAAGAAGTCTATATACCTTGCTATCTCTGTGAGGATGTAGTTCGAGAAAGTTCGATGAGGTTCGATGTGCTTGAACCTCCCCGAACCGGTGCATATTGCACCCTGCACACCTTGTATCCCCTGAAGAGATGTAGTTGGAGAGAGAAAGAGAAGACAGGAAGAAGAAGAAGAAGCAGGCTCAGGCCAGTTCTGGTTCTGTGGTGGGCTGGGTGCGGGCAGGATCAAGAGTTCGGGGTGGTTCGACTGTACCGAACCTTCTCCAACTACATCTTTATAGGGGATAGAAGGAGTGCAAGGTGCAATTTGCACCGGTTCGGGGAGGTTGAAGCACATCGAACCTTCTCGAACTACATCCTCACAGAGATAGCAAGGTATATAGAGTTCTTTTTACACGAGTTCTGGGTGGTTCGACTGGACCGAACCTTCTCTGACTACATCTTCTCTACTCTATCTGTTGGGGGTGGTTCGACTGCACCAAACCTTCTCCAACTACATCTCTTCAGAGGATACAAGGTGTGCAGGGTGCAATATGCACCGGTTCGGGGAGGTTCAAGCACATCGAACCTCATCGAACCTTCTCTGGCTACATCTTGACAGGGGTGGTTCAACGGTACCACCGAACCTTCTCCAACTACATCTTCTGTACTCTATCTACATCGTTACAGGGGAAACAAGGTGTGCAGGGTGCTTATGCACTAGTTCGGGGTGGTTCAAGCACACCGAACCTCCACTAGCCACTAGTGGTTCAAGCACATCGAACCTCCTCGAACCATATTATAGGTTACAGATAAAGAATTACGATATGACTTCCCTGGTTGTCTTATAACTAGGACAACCAGGGAAGTGTATGTTAGAAGGCTAAAGAACAAAAGAAAAGAAAAAGATCAAAGTGATGTGCAGTAAGCAGCTTACTTCCAATATGTATTGACATTGCATTTGTGTGTTCCTCATGCAGAAAAGCTGTTAAAATGTTTTTTATGTATTATATTTATAATTAATCATTATATTTTTTCTATTTACACTATTGTACTTACACAGCCTGAATATCATCGAAAGTTGTCATATTGTTGTTTACAGGATTAATGCGCGTTATTTATAACAATATGAAGTTGAGTGCTAGTCAACAGTCTGATATCTCAAACATTCTATTGTGGTCCCCAAGGTTGCTGCTATTTTCTTACCAATCACAATATCTGGGGAACCTCTGAAAAGGAATTGATCTGGCTTAGCTATTTCTCCAAGTTTGAGACACTTCTGCTCTAACTACATATCTACGTTGAGCTTATTAATAGATGATAGATTGATATCAAGTATTAGTTAACTGTCCTTCAAACCCTCCTCCTTTTTAAAGACTTGTACATCACAGGTAAGTCACTATTCTTTACAGTCTTTGATCCCTTTTCTCGGTTCCAATTGACATTCTTTAGCTTCAGAGAAGTGTAGTGTTGGAGTTCGCCACTAGCTTCTAATTTTGACTTGATATTGGCGGGATAGATGGCAGCAAAATCACCTGGCAGTTGTTGAAGGAAGAGCCTGAATGGACGATAGACGATAGTTCATATGGCTATGTATCAGTACAGATGGTATATACATGAAAGGAAATATCCAACTCCTATATATAGGGGTGGTATATATTATATGCTATCACTTTAATGCTGACACCCCAAATATGTATGACAAAGCATTTAGGCCTGACCAAATAAATCGTTTGTACAAATTACCGTCTGCAGGACAGTTTTACTCAAGGGTCTAAGGAAGTAGCTTACAAACACATTCTTTTACCTGTGGTTTATTACAATCCATAGTAATGCAATTCCACTTTTTGACAATCCACCTTTTTTTGGCTAGAGACTTGCTCTCTGATACAAGTAACACATCCTTTTCGCAGTCGTACAAACAAACACTAAACTGTGCTTCATCAATCAGAATAGTTGGTACCATCGCTTGTTTATTAGGATGAAGTGATTTCTCAGTAAAAGAAGAAATAACACAGGTGCCAACTGCTTGTTGCAGGTTTGCATCCCTAAGATTCACCTTTCCCCCAATTGTGGTTGTAGCTCCATCACTACTAGCAAGTGATTCATCATCACTAGGATCTTCATCGACTACCACGCGCTCCTCTGTTTCTCTCCTACAGACAACTTCAACCTCCCTCACCCTCACATCTGGGGTGCCATGCCATGTATCCACGGACCCCATTCCAATGTCACCACAATTTAGCTCAGTCGTCATTTGCTCCCCAAGGATTTCCCAGTAACTACTCTCCAGGACCACTTCTCTACAAAGAGACACCAGAATTTTTTAGCTAACATTGAGCATTATGACCTTTTCACGTTGCGTGGACTTGGAATAGGAGCAGCAATGAGGTGTCCATGGACGGCTCCTACAGTTCTTGATGAACTTCAAAGCCCCAATGTAATCTGGTTCAACCTCAACTTTGAATAAATTGTTAAATCTGACTGCAATCTGGCTCACACCATGAGGATCAGTGTGTGCATTAAGTCGAAAACCCAAGGACGAAAAACTGGAATTTTAACAAAAGTTGGATGCCACATAGTGAAAAACAAAGGGAATTTCAGCATTTATCCTTTCAAGGGCATATTTTAGATCATGTTCACATGTTTCGAATTCCTCCGTCATTTCCTGTAGCAGAGAATGCATCAGTTATAAAATAGCCCATTTGGCCTTTGTCACACGCACACACACACACACTACACACTAATCTGTGTCAGGGCTAGTCTGGCGTCGTGTCACCAGCCCCTACCCGCGCAGGGCTGGTGACGCCAGAACACGCTATCGAGGGCAGCTACAGCTGGAGTGAATTACTCAGTACAACAGTATTTATTGAACTTACCATGTCTTGGTTTGACTAAACTTGGGAAACACCTGAGTGTGTGGTAACGTGGATTGCCTACATTGCTATGATGTCATTTCATAAAGACGCGCGGCGCTAATCTCGTGCCAGGCCGCCCCATAATGCACGCTCATCGCGTCAGATCTTGAGGAGGACTGTTGACAATGGCGGAATCCCAAGGAGTGAAAATCAAAATTACCGTAGGTAATAGAAGTCTACCGGGACTTACTGTCCCGTCTATGAAACAGCTCCTCAAGTGTAGAGGGTTTACCGTAGAAAACAAAGTGAAAAAAACAAGCTGAAAACCCAGTTAGAGA